CTGGTTTTATGTCCAGCATATGATGTGTTTTATGTCCCATGTTCACTTGACAAGAATGTTTGTTTTTCTGTTGGTGGTGGAATGTTCTCTACATGTCTGTTGTGAGTGACTGGTGTATAGTGTGGTTCAGTTCTCTATTTCCTACTGATCCTCTGACTGGATGTTCTGTTCATTACTGAAAATGAAATATTCAATTCTCGAACTATCGTAGAATTGTCTGTTTCTCACTTGAATTCTGTCAATGTTTGCTTCATGTATTTTGGGGACTTTTTGTATGGCGCATGTATGTTTCTAATTCTTGTATCTTTGATGAGTTGAGTGTTTTATCAATATGCAATGTCCTCATGCATATTTGTAGTTGACACAATATGGATGAATAGGTCCTTGGTGTTATGGCTCTCAGTTCTTAGGGTCTTAGTGTATGGATGAGGACATAAGGATTCTTGAAAAAATAAGCTTATTATAGAGAAAGTCAACTGTAAGTAACGGCTGATACATCGTATGGTGTTAACAGTTATACATTAGAGGCATAGGGGTACGTGCCATCCTTTGCTATCAGCTCTGTTCCCTGGTACCTAATGATGCACATGCTAATTCTACAATCTCTTGAAACTTGGAGAGAGAGAGGGACTCAAAGCAACAAGATTGTAAAGCCATGTTCTTAGGAGACATATCAGATGCTACCTAGGTAAGGGGGTGAGCGGGGGAGAGAGAGAGAAGTGGGGATAGAGGACAGAGGGGAGAGGAGGAGAGGGAAATGAAGGAAAGGGAGGGGAGGAGGACAAACTGATAAGTGTCCGGATTCTGCATCCCACTTTAAATTAGGCCGGTGTGGTGGCTCATGTCTGTAATCCCAGCACTTTGGGAGGCCGAGGCGGGCGGATCATGAGGTCAGGAGTTCAATACCAGTGACCAGTGTGGTGAAACCCCACCCAAAAAAAAAAAAAAAAAAAAAAAAAAAAAATTAGCCGGGCATAGTAGCTTGAGCCTGTAATCCCAGCTACTCAGGAGGCTGAGACAGGAGAGTCGCTTGAGCTCAGCAGGCGGAGGCTGCAGCAAGCCGAGGTCGCACCACTGCACTCCAGCCTGGGTAACAGAGGGAGAGACTCTGTCTCAAAAAATAAATAAATAAAAATAAATTAGAGAAGCTGTGTTTTAATATGTCTTACAGACTTGACATATAGGTCAGATTCAGTTTGAGAAAATATTTCCACTACTTTAAAATATTTTGAAAAGACCCAGCATGGTGCATCCCTGCAGTCCCAGCTCAGCCACTTGAGAGGCTGAGGCGGGAGGACACTTGAGCCCAGAAGTTTGATGCTAGTCTGCAAACATGGCAAGACCACCCTATCGACAGTTTTTCTTATAAACAAACAAACAAAAATGTTGAAAGGCAAATGACCACACACCCAGAGGATAAAATACATGTTACTCAGTCTAAGAAAAACACATATGCTTACTTAATAGTTTCACGGCTAATAATTTGCTGTCATGTTTATTGCTTAAGAACTGTTTGTCTTCTGCTTAGCCTGCTTGTTTATAGCAGGCTCATCTTTGGAAGCGTGGGCTGAGTGTTGACCCCCTGGCATGTGGACGTCGTTCTGGGAGTTGGCAGCATTTGTGCTGCTGATGAGAAGTCTGGTGCTCAACTGATTTTTATTGCTTTGTGGATGACATGAGTAGCAGTAGCGGCCACAGGCCACCTCCTCTGCAGATGGAGCCCAGGAGGACCCATCGTGGAGGGGTGCCTGAGCTACTCGTGCCTGGCTCCTCTCCCACGCCGAGGGTCTGATCGTTCTCACCCCTGCAGAGGCAGCTTTGGGGAAAATGAGGAGCTAGCGTGGAATTCCAGGAAGCCCCTGCACACGTGGAAGCAGCGGGCAGGAGTGTGGGTGACATGCTCCTCTGTGTGCTCCACTGCACACTCCCAGCTGTCCTCTTTGATGGAGTGGTCACAGCACTTTATTCCAGGGTGTTGTCACACGGTAGGGGATGAGCCATCTCTCAGGGCAGAGCTAGGCCCCTCCAGCCTGGGCAGCTCCCAGGGGTACTCTCTGCTCCTGTGTGGGTCCTCCTGTGCCTGCCGGTGGTGGGTACATTAGATTCCTGCCAGGAAGCCTTTGGACAAATCAGACACCACGTTAATAAAACCCCCTCCAAGGCTGAAGACCAAGTGGGGTCTCAGAGCTGTGGATACAACTTGGAAGTCTATGGGCTCAGCCGATCCTCGGCCATGTGGTGGGAGTGACCTTGAGGCCTAGAGACCAGCCAGGTGAGGCCACACGGTCAGCCCTGTCACAGGCCACTCCTTTCCCTGGCTGTAGTGCAAGACCACACTTAAAAACAAAGAGAATTGGGGCAGCCACAGTGACCACGTGTTCCTATGTGACCTAGTCACCAAGCAATACATTTTAAAGGTTAGTTGTCTTATGAGTCGATTACAGAAGAATGAGCATGTGTCTTTGATATTTACCTGCTCATTTACCTTCCACTGTGCCCCCCACTCCTTCCTGCAGGTCAGGCTCCACCTGGCCTCGTCCTAGTCAACCTAAAGGACATCCGTCCACGTTGCCTGCAGCGCACATCTGTGGGGCAGGATTTCTCTCAGCATTTGCTCTTCTGAACAGGTTTTCACTTCAGTCTCAGTTTCTGGGTTTGTTTGAGACCCTTCTTGCTCTGTCACCCAGGCTGAAGTGTGATGGTGCAGTCACAGCTCACTGCAGCTTCCGCCTCCTGGACTCAAGCAATCCTCCTGCCTCATCCTCCTGAACAGTTGGGACTACGGGTGCACACCACCATGCCTGGCTAATTTTTAAACCTTTTGTAGAGATGAAGTCTCACTGCCCGGGCTGGTCTACAACTCATGCACTCAAGTGATTCTCTTGCCTTGGCCTCCCAAAGTGCTGGTGTTAGAGGTGTGAGCCACAGTCCCTGCCTCAAGAAGGGTGTTCTTCATAGATGTAGAGTTCTGGGTTGCCAGTTTTTATTGCTCGGTATTTTAAAGATGGGGCTCCCTTGTTTCTGATGAGAAGTCAGGGTGCTTTTCTTATCCTTGTTTTTTTGTATGTAAAGTGTCTTCCTGCCACTGCTTCTGAGATTTATGCCTTCATTTTTGGTTTTCATCACTTTATTATCTGCCTGGATGTGGTTTTCTTTATATTTATCCTACTGGGGTTTTTCTGAGATTCCCGGATTTGTAAGTTGTTGTTTTTTGAATTCAAATTTGGTGTGTTTAAAATTTTTAACTATTGTACTTTTCAGCTCTAGGATTCCCATTTAGAAAAGTAGTTTCAGTTCTCTACTGAGATTCCCTCTTTATCCACTCACGAAGATGGTGCTTCCTCTAAGTATCTGAGCGCGGTTTTCTTCGAGTTTCGGAGCATGTTTGTAATAGCTGCCTCAGTCACTGTGTGCTGGGTCCACTAGCTATACCATCTTTGTTTTCTTTTCTGTTTTTAACAGTGAATTACATTTTCCTATATCTTTTGATATCTGATGATTTTTTTTTGAGACAGGGTCTTGCTCTGTTGCCCTGTCTGGAGTGCAATGGTGTGATCATACCTCATTGCAGCCCCTACCATCCAGGCTCAATAGGCCTTCCTGCCTAAACTTACCTAGTAGCTGGGACTGCAAGCATGTGCCACCGTGTCTGGCTAATTTTTAAACATTTTTTTGTAGAGACAGAGTCTCACTATGTTGCCCAGGTTGGTCTCAAACTCCTGGCCTCAAGCAGTCTTCCTTGGCCTCCCAGGGTGCTGGGATTGCAGGCATGAACAACTGCACCTGGCCAGTATCTGATGATTTTGATTGTATGTGAGCTGTTATGATAATGCATTTACAGACTCTGAGCTCCGTCGTGTTTCTGATTTTTGTTCTAGCCGTCGGTAACTGGAGGATGACCTTGACCTTGTGCAGTGTTTATTGAACACTTTGGGTGGATCTCTGGGAAGTGTCTACAACTTGGAATATTCTATATCTTGGTGAGACTCACATTCCACACCGTCTTCCCTAAAACTCCTGTTCTGGATTGGTTTCGGCTTTGCTTGGGCCGGGCTGGGTGGGTCTCACTCCTGTCTGTGGTCCTTACTCATTTGGTGGGGGGCTGTGGGGGTCTGGGCTGGATATCGGCACGGGCGCTGAAGCGGGGGCTCCGCTCTCATTCCTCTAGCAGCTTCTCTCTGGTGAGAAGCTTCTCTCAGTGAGTCTGCGGTGGCCTTGCCCTGGGAAGGTACATCCCTGCCCCATCCCCAGATTCTCAGCCGACCCTCACACGGCGGGTCCTGCCCTCCACACCGACCCTTCCTCTGCTTCCCTGCTCCTCAGACTCCAGGGCTTCGACTGCCTGGGCACCGGCCCCTCCCTCCTCGGCAATTGTATTCTGCTGCAACTCCAGCTGCTAACATTGCCCTTTGGAAGCGTGCCCCAGCAGAGAGCTGGGACGCGGGAGTTTCTTCTTTCTCCTAAGTTTCTGCTGTCTCAGGAATCACAGTCTGCACTGCTGGTTGACCACTGCCTGAAAACGAGCGTCTCATAAATCTCAGCCGTGCTGCTGATAGAGTGGCCAGCTCTGCACACTCCCGGCGGCAGGGGTCCCAGTAGGGTTACGTGGTCCGTGTTCACTTCTGGTCTCTTCCCCAAAGTTTCTGCTTGATGAAACAGAAGCTGTGGTTCGAGGAGCTCCTCTGGGAACCAGTCATGTCTGCTTCAGTGTAGGACTGATGAAGGGAGGCAGGGATCAGTCAGTTGGGTCTAAAACCACCTGTGCATCACTGATAAATTTGGGCAGCTTTCCAAATATAACAAGTGCTTGAAGAAGGTGCAATTAGTTATGAAACTAAGGGCCAAATAAAAAACATGAGCATCTACAACAGAAAACTGAGTTCCAGGAAACACCCTTGAGGAAGAAAAACAAGGAAGACAGCAGGCGCGCTTCCGTGCTGGGAGATGCCTGGGTCCAGGTATAAAGGCTGCCCGGGGAAGCCATCTCCAGACACCACTGCCCTCTGCCTCAGACTTATCCAGCCACATGCCACCATGTGCCACACCAGCTGCTCCTCAGGCTGCCGGGCAGCCTGCCGCGTGCCCAGCTCCTGCCAGGCATCCTGCTGCATGCCCGTGGGCTGCCAGTCCTCCGTGTGTGTGCCCGTGAGCTTCAGGCTAGCCCTGTGTGTGCCCGTGAGATGCCAGTCCTCTGTGTGTGTGCCTGTGAGCTGCAGGCCCGTTGTCTGTGTGGCCCCCTCCTGCCAGTCCTCCGGGTGCTGCCAGCCCTCCTGCACCAGCGTCCTCTGCAGATCTGTCTCCTGCAGCATCCCATCCTGCTGCTGACCACGAGTGTCCAGACCCGCTGCTCCCAGTGCAGACGGGGCCACACCTGTACCCTCCCCGGATGAGTCCTCGGTTATTCTTCTGCACTTGGGGCTAGTGAAAAGCATGCTCAGTGAGCCTTCTGAATTCTGGGTTGAGAATGTGACAGAATTATCTGGAGCCCTCGCTGACCTTGCCCATCCTCCTAGAGAAGTCTGGGTCCCAGATATATTCTCTGACCCCATGAGAGCCAAATAAACCAGCTTTCCCCATGCAGCTCTGTTTCTGGTCTTTCTTTTTTATTCCGATGTTCCCCGCTACCTATTCCGCTGATTACATAGAATTTACTGCTAAACGCTCTTCAGCGGTCCCTTCGCACAGTGCTCATCAGAAGGTGGTGTCCTGGGTGGAGGGCACGGCTACAGATGCCCATGTGGTCTCTGCTAAGGCTCCCGGGGCCCAGGTGCAGTGGCTACAGCGGTGCCTTTCCCGCCTGCGGTGGAGTGGTCTTGCTGTCCACTCCTGCTCCAGCCTAGCAAGCTGTGCATGGAAGGCCAAAGCCTCAGAGCATTGAAGATTGGGTTTTCCCATGTGCTTGGTGGACGTCCTATTTCCCAGGTCATGGAGAATCTCAAGTTTACAGACCTGGATTAGTTCTGCAGCACATACTCCCATTACTGGTCCACAAAGGCCCAGTTTTTACTGATTGACTGATGATCGATTACTGAGAATTCTAATATAATAAACCCCCTTGAACCCACTGCCTGACATAGAAATGAATACATCATCAATAATTTGCCATGAACTTCTTGGGACAGCCACTGTTGGGATTGTGTGCTTCTTTTTCTTGAGACAGAGCTTTGCTCTTGTTGCCCAGGCTGGAGTGCAGTGACGCCATCTCAGCTCACCGCAACCTCCTGCCTCCCGGGTTCAAGCAATTCTCTGCCTCAGCCTCCTGAGTAGCTGGGACTACAGGGGCGCACCACCACACCCAGCTAATTTTGTATTTTTAGTAGAGATGGGGTTTCGCCATGTTGACCAGGATGGTGTGATTTCTAATTAGAAGTCTGATGTAAATCTTACCTTTGTCCTTATGCTTGTGGTCTGCCTTTAAAATACGGATGCTTTCAAGATTTCCCTTTTTACCTTTGGTTTTTGACAGTCACGGGTTTAATGTGACACGTCTAGTCATTTGTAGTGGAGATATAGTTACCCAATTTGGGGTTCTCGGAACTTTTTGGATATGTGGTTTTACGTATTTCATTATTTTTAGAATATTTCTCAGCTACCATGTCTTTAAACATTCCTTCCACCCTGCGCTCTCTTTCTTCTCTTTCCGGACTCCTATCACATCCGTAAATGAGGATTTGATGTTGTCCTAGCTTTTCGATGTTTTGCTCTTGTCCCTCTTTACCCTCATCTTTCTCTTTGTGTTTCAATTTGGACAATCTATATTTACCTGTCTTCAAATTCAAGGCTTCCACGTGTGGTTGTATCAAGTATGCTGATGAGCCCACTGAAGGAAGCCATCTTTGACACTGTGTTTTGATTTCTACCATATTCACTTCATCTCTCTGCTGAAATTACTCATCTGTTCATATATGCTGTTCATGCTTTACCCTGGATCTTTGGACATATTCATTATATTTATTTTAAAGTTTATGCCTGATAGCTCTAACACCTGGGTTATTTTACTTTTTGCTTGTTACTTTTTTTTTAGACATAGTGTCTTGCTCTTTTACCCAGGCTGGAGTGCAGTGGATCAATCTCAGCTCACTGCAGCCTTGAACTACCAGGCTCACGCGACTCTCCAGCCTCAGCCTCCCAGTGTGCTGGGATTACAGATGTGAACTGTGCCCAGCCTCTAGGTCACTTTTGAATCCAGTTTTGTTGATTTCCTTATCTCCTGACAATGGCTTGGTTTTTCCTTGCTTTTTTGCATGTCTTATACTTTTTTATTTAATATCAGACATCATCATTTCCTTCTGGAAATGCATGTGTCTCTTTTTCTGTCAGGTCATTAGTGTGTTGGGGAGGTGGATGAATCAATGTGGTCAGACATTGATCATGGTTTGGGTTTTGTTGTTGCTGTGGTTGCCTTCAGTGTACCAATGGCTTGTGCTTAGGGTGAGAGCTGGGGAGGTCAGTGCTTTTGCTCCACCCCAAGTTGTCAGAGGCCCCTGCATGCCTGACATTCAGAGGCAACCTCTACACACTTCTGCCTTTCCCCAGAGGCCGGCTGATGTTGCTTATTGAATGGTGCCTGTTAGGCTGGAGCTGGAGACAGGAGGGCTCTCTGTTGTCTCGGTCCAGTGTCAGTCTTAGGCTGACCCTTTGCATGGGGACTTGAGAATGAGACTTTCCTGGACTTCTGCTGCCCCTTCCCAGGACAGACGAACTCTGCTCTGTATTTGTGGACGGTGTTGTTTGAAAGTGTTTCCTGCCCTCTTTGCCGTAGTAATCCTTTGAGGCGCTGCATGAGATCTGGGGCCAGGACTATTTCCCATCCATCCTTCAGGGTAGAGGATTGTTTTCTTCTGCCCTCCCCTCTACAGCCCCCATCTGGAAGCTCCTTCTCTGGTGGTCTTTATACCTGGGTCCCAGGCAACTGGGTAACATAAAAACACAACAGTTGTCTTCTTCATGGTTGTTTCCACTGTGTTTCCAAACATCTTATCCCACAGTGCAAGGCTTGGGGAGTGAGTGTGGGGACAGCACCTTCAGGCCACTCCCCCGACCAAGGACCCTCCACTTCAGCTCAGCCATCAGGAAAGTGGCTCTGAAGAGGCACTGCTGCCATTAAAGTTGGTATGTACCTTCAAGGAAAGAACTTACAAAATATATGAAGATAAACGAGAGAGACAAGCTGTATAGGGACAGCTGATTTATTTGGCTCACATGGGTGTTAGTTTCCTGCTGGAATGAGAGAAGGACTCTGGGAGCCAGGACTTCCTTGAGGGGGTTCCCAGGGAGGGTCACGGAAGGTCTGAATCATTTTTCCACATTCTCACCCCCGAGTTCAGAGATGTCCTTGAGTACACTTTTCATCTGCCCCATGTGTACAATCTGGGGGTCCACCAGGTGCTTGTTCATGGAGGGATACAGATGTGTACCCTGTGTACCAGGAGCAGCTGGTCAGCAGCAGGAAGTAGTGCTGCAGGAGGTGGGTCTGCAGAGGATGGTGGTGCGGTGGGGCTGGCAGTGCCCGGAGGACTACCTTAAGAAAACCTTTTGCTCTAACATAGGCTATCAAAATTTTTAGTTTTGTGTTAGTATATGTTTTAATATCAATGTTCAATCTTTAGAAAGACTGTTATAAATAATTTCATTTTAACTATATCCAACCTAATCATATACAAAATTCCTATCATAAATTCACTTTTCAAGAGCCTTAACATGACTTACACAGACCAGTTACAACATGCCTGGATTTCCTGATTTTTTCTATTCTTCCTTATTCTTAAATAACCAGTCATTTTACTTAAGGATAAAAATTCACTATATAAGATTCTTTCTCATACAAAATTATTCTCTTTTCTCTTTAATCTTCCTTACCAAAAGTACATCTTCATATCCATAACTTTCTGCACATTTCTTTTTCCTACTTACTGGTGACTTTCTATCTTGTTTCATGTTTCCTTCCTAAATCCATATTTGGAAACAACTTTTAAATAACCTTTGAATTAGGCAAATTATTCTTTTTGTCAATAAAGAACACTATCTTTATGCCTTTCTTGTAATTTTTTTCTTACTAAAGCACATCTTATTTTGGCACCTTTTATACATAGAATTATATATATTAAAAGTTTTAATTCCTAGTAACCTTAAATTTTATTGAAAACCTAGGAAATAAGAAATTTTAAATTTCCTGTCACATAACAGTATTTAACATGCAAAAAAACCTTATCATTTTTAGAAACATGTTTCCTTGTAAATTTTTAAATTGAAAATGATTCAGCCATATAATATCTATTATTTAATTTAACATAATTTTAGATGTCAAATTACATAAAGTTTATTGATGTTTATCTCATTTACATTTGCCTAATTTATTTATTTTTAATAATTATAAAAACTGACATATTAGATAAACTTAGTCATTATTTCAAATTATTTCCTTGTTAATCATTTTTATAGCCTGTGATATATGGTGTTCACCTAAGTAAGAAACTTAAATGTATGGGTATTTTGTTGATAACTCAGAAGGTTTACAGCTGTTTTAATTAAACCAACAATATTAAATTAGTCTTATAAAAAATGACATAAAAATTATTCTGTTTTTGGCTGGGTTTATGGTCTTCTAATATTTATTAAAGACAAATGTAAAACTGTCTGACCAGTACATCCAGGCAAATGTCAGCAAAATGTATGCTGACAATTTTGAAGACATTTTAATTTTTACTTTAGCAGTTACTTTAAAACCAACTTATTTATTAAAGATTTACTTAGGTCATATGAACTTGGAAAATATTTGGGCTTGATAATTTATGAGTGCTTGTTTATTGAAAAGTAAATTTGACACCATGTAGACACACAATATGACATAATACATGTACATATACATAAACACATCTAAACACACACACAAATAAAGATCTTATAACTTTCATTTTAGAATTTTAGTCATGAGCTAGTAATACTCATTGGTTTATAAAGAATGGTTGGAACCAAATTATATTTCTGACAAGACCGAGACCTATTTACATTGCTAAATTTTGTTTGCCCAATAGGTAATCTCATGAAGATTGTGGGCCAAAATTTTGGATAAAGCAGTTTCCATGGCAGTTTGATTTTTAAACTTCTTTTATCCTTTTTTCCTTCAGTTTCAAATGAGTTTAGGGTTAACTTTTAAATATTTATATTTCAGCTAGAACTGGCTGAATTGTATAAGAAAATCAAGGTCTACACGTAGCCTTGAATCAGTAATACCGTAAGAAGCGAATGTTTTTCTCAACAACAGTAGAAAAGTCAACAGATTCAAAGTAGGCAGAAAAAAAAATAGAGAACTCAGGAGACTCTACATTTTCACTCTATATTTGCAGGTTGATGATTCTGAGTTCTGACTTTTCCTTGATATAATTTAACTATGGAAAAATGGGCCATGATATGTGGTCAACTGGAGTCCCAGAAAACCTGGCATGCCCTAATGTTTGAGAATCCTAGTTTTGGCCATTTCAGTATTAAATCTCCTTTAGCAAACCCCTTACCTCCAGGGAGATACTTGCAAGTATAGGCTCCATATGTGTTACACATGAAGCCACTTCTACCTAATCTTTCAACTAGGAGAATTCCCCCTTCTTAAGACATGAAAAAATCTCACAGAAGAATTTACCCTTCACCAAGAAGTGATATCAACTAACTGAATAAAACTTAGGAACCTCAACCAAGTGGGAGGTCTGAGGCTCAGGAGAGACTCACCCAGTCACCTGGAACGGTGGAGGAGCCATGGGGCTCAGATGACCTGTGCTGGTGCCAGGGCGCCGGGTCCCCCAGTGTTCCAGACACCCCTGGGCAGTCTACTGAGTCCTATCTGGGTCACCGTAGTTTTCAACTAAGGAAAAGAATTAAACTTTTAAAGAATGAAAGTTAGCTTTATTCAGAAGTCTTACTGAGGACTAAACTGTGCTGCGCTATAAAGACCTCAGTCTATAGTCCTCAGTGAAACTTCCGAATAAACTTAACTTTCATTCTTTAAAAGCTTGATTTTTCCCTTCAGTCCATAGAGATGAACTTCTGTGGCCAGCTGAATATGGTCACCAATGATGCCCACATCCTGGTTCTCAGAACCTGTGAGTGTGTCACCTTATGCGGCAGAAGGGACTTCACAGGTGTGGCTAATTACGGGATGGGAGTCCCCTGGATTATCCAGGTGGGCCCAATGTCTCCACAGGGTCCTTCTCGGAAGGAGGGAGGAGGCGGACAGAGGAGAAGGTCACGGGCAGGTGTGAGTGAGCTGCTACTGGCCCTGAAGCAAGGACTTGAGCCAGGCGTGTTCTGGGTATGGGTGGGATTTGCCTGGAGTGAGTGCTGTCCTCAGCAGAAGGGGGGGCTGTTGGCACATGTGGTACCAGGGGAGCCGTTTGGGAACCAAGAAATCAGCTAAGAGCAGCACCTGCTGGCCTACCCCTCCTGCTGAGAGGCCCATATCTAGAAACTTCTGTTGCCAGAAGGCTCCGTGTTGACAAGTATGTGAGGTGCAAGAGGACTCCTGAGAGGGCCCTGCTGGAGGCCCTGCTCACTCCTCATCCCAGGCCTGCAGCCTCACCAACCGCACAGGGTTTCTGCTTCCACCCGACTCTTTAGCTTGGACTGGCAGGGGACGGGCGTGGCAGGTGGTTCAAAGCTTACCAGAGGCTGAGCCGTGCAGCTCCGCTACCCTCCCTGGCCCGGCTTGGAGGCTCATCCCCCATGGGCAGGGTGTGGCTTCGGCTGCAGGAAGGGTGTGGAGCTGATCACACCTGCCTTGAAAGCCTGCACTCTCTCAAGTGTTTGATCTCGGAATGAGAGACACCAAACTGTCTGCCTTCAACAGGACAGTGGTCCCACAGTCCAAATTTGGAGTAGGCACGGGGGCTCAGGGGAAGACAGAAAGTGCACAGCAGCGCATATTTCCTGACTCAAGAATTTATTGATTACAGCAATTCTTCTTTGTCACATTGGGTGCAGGCAACACATTTGGAGAAGGGGCTCTAGAAGGCCACAGCCCACCTGCTAAGGGATTTGTGAGCTGTCTCTTCCCAGACAGGGAGGAGGGAAGTGTGATGTGCTGAAAATCCCCTTCAGGCAGCAACAATGTGGCCACTGATGGGAGCTGGTAGATTCTGAGGCCTCCAGGGGCTCCTGAGGCTGGAGAATCCTGCTTGGCAGCAAAGACACGGTCAGCAGGAGACCAGGATTGAGCACTCAGTAGCTGGACTTATGGCCTGAGCAGAGGCCTCAGCAGGCCGGGCGGGAGCACGTGGGGCGGCAGAGGAGGGACAGGCAGGAGGCCGGGCGGCAGCAGCTAGGCTGGCAGGAGGAGGCAGGGGCACAGCAGGAGGAGGCGGGGGAACAGCAGGCAGGCCTGCACACAGGGCGGCAGAGCAGGGACACGGAGGAGGAGGGTCTGCAGCAGGAAGTGGTGCAGCAAGCTGGCTGGCAGCTAGACTGCTGGCAGCATGAAGAGGAAGCCCCAGAGCAAACAGGCACACAGCAGACGGGCTTGCAGCAGATGGGCACACAGCTCACAGGCTTGCAGCAGACGGGCACACAGCAGGCCTGCTGGCACGGGGAGGAGGTGCAGCAAGCCGGCTGGCAGCATGAAGAAGTCTCAGAGCAGGTGGGCACACAGCACACGGTCTTGCAGCAGATGGGCACACAGGAGGACTGCTGGCAAGAGGAAGAGGCACAGCAAGCCGGCTGGCAGCTAGACTGCTGGCAGCATGAAGAGGAAGCCCCACAGCACACAGGCTTGCCCCAGACGGGCTTGCCCCAGACGGGCTTGCAGCAGACGGGCTTGCAGCAGACAGGCACGCAGCAGGCCTGCTGGCAGGGGGAGGAGGTGCAGCAAGCCGGCTGGCAGCTAGACTGCTGGCAGCATGAAGAGGAGCCCTCAGAGCAGGTGGGCACACAGCAGACAGGCTTGCAGCAGACAGGCACACAGCAGGCCTGCTGGCAGGGGGAGGAGGTGCAGCAAGCCGGCTGGCAGCTAGACTGCTGGCAGCACGAGGGTGTGCAGGAGCTGGTGCAGCCTGATTGGCAGGGGCTGGGCTCACATGCTGCCTGGCAGCAGGGGCTGGACACACAGCTCACTGGGGAGCAGACCACGGTCAGGCAGGGGGCCGGGGCGCAGCAGCTGGGGTCGCAGCAGGGGGGCTCGCAGCAGCTCTCTGGGCAGTCGTCCACCTGCCAGGAGTCGGGGCACGTGCTGGAGCAGACGGACATGGTGGACGCTGCCATGTTGGGGTGTGGAGGAGGTGAGTGGGGTAGGTGTGAGTGAGTGAGGGAGTGAGTGAGTGAGTGAATGAGGTGCTCTGGGCTGTGGGGCTTTTATACCCCTCCCAGGCGTGTGTTGTCCGGACACGAGGCTCCAGAAGCTTCTCTTCCTCGTTGGTGTTTAGAGCTGGTGGCTGGAGATGCGATATTTATCTGTTTGTTTTTCCCTCATTAAACTTGTGTGTAGTTGCAGGGCTCTGCTTCTTCGTGAGTTTTTATTTTGGCTCCAGAAATGTGGTGGAAAATATTTCAAGCAAGTTTTTGTTGAGTTGAGCATTTAGAGATGAACATTTCTCCAAAGGGAGCAACTCTGGTTCCACCTATCCTGTTTCTGGGCTGATTAGATATATTTTATTACTTTAAATATGGGCCAGGCACGGTGGCTCATGCCTGTAATCCCAGCACTTTGGGAGGCTGAGGTGGGTGGATCACAAGGTCAGGAGTTCGAGATCAGTCTGGCTAACATAGTGAAACCCTGTCTCTACGAAAGATATAAAAAATTATCTGGGTGTGGTGGTGTGCACCTGCAATCCCAGCTACTCAGGAGGGTGAGGCAGGAGGATCCTGTGAACCCAGGAGGTGGAGGTTGCAGTGAACTGAGATAGCGCCATTGCACTCCAGCCTGAGCAACAGTGAGAGACTTTGTCTCAAAAAAAAATAAAAAAATAAATATGGAGAAAAATGTGTGCTTTTTATGAAAAACAAATAATACAGAGAATGAGATAAAAGGAAGCTAAGTGGCCTCCAATCCCTTATGCCGTATAAGGTTGATCCACACTTTATCTTTGTCTCTTCAGCTCTTCCATGCCACCCTCCGAGGCCTCTCTTTGTTTTATTAGAAGCTGCACCCTGGATCCTTTCAATTTTCATTTTCCATGGTAAAAGATCAAGTACTTTTTCATATATGGTGATTTTAGGACATACACTTTAAGATTCCTTGCTTGTCTGAAAATGTATCAACTTTATACTTATAATGATAGTTTAGCTGGGCATAAAATTCTAGTTTTAAATTACTTTTCCTCAAAATGGTGAATATATTTTGCTTTTTTTTTTTTTTTTTTTGGTGATATCCAGTGTTACCGATGACAGTCTGATGCTGGTCACTTATCATCTTTTTTGTTTCTCTCTCTCTCTCTCTTTCCTTAAGTCTCTGGGAGCATTTGGGTTTCTTTTGGTTGTTCTAAAATGTCATGTTTTTGTTTCTAGGCTTATGCGTTGCTTTACTTTCTGTGGTTAGAACTCATTGAGTTCTAATCTTTCAACGTAAAGATTCATCTCAGAAGTGTTTTTGCACTTTTAACAACAATTTTATCTTTCCTGGTCTCTCTTTTTATGACCTTTTATTTTTGTCTTGTGTTGAATGAAATATGTTATCCATTCACTCTGATGATGTTACTTTGAGTTTTTAAATATTTTTCCTTGTTTCACTGGACATCAGATAAAGTCTGCTCATTGGTGGCAGTACATTCAATTTATTCTAGTGCATTAGGATCCTTCTCTAATTTACTGCTTAATCTGTTTCTGTTTGCTTCTTTTTTCTACAAACATATGAAGGACCCTGCTGAGCCTCCTTTGTTATTAGATAATTTTGATTTCATTTTTTTATAACTCTTTAGATATCCTTTCAGTGACCATTACTACAGGTGTGTGAGAACTGTGTGCTTAATCTACTTTCTGGGATCGAAAGACTTGGTGCTGCTTTCAAGAAATGATAGGAAAGCCAGGAAATCTAGGATGACATCATATTAGTGGGTGCACTGAGGACATGCACAGTACAAGTGTGGCCTTTTTACAACAGCCACAACATGAGGTGCAACTTTGGAGCCCCGTACTCACTGGAGATGTGTCCTTTTGGATCATGGAACTTTCTGCTGGGTGCCAGCAGGCCTTCTGTGGACAATCAAATGATCAAACTATTTCTTAAATCAGGCAGACACTCTGGGGATATGAGTGAGCTGAGCTGCAGGGATTAAATGGCCCAGGGTTGGGAGACGGAGGTGCTGGGAGGGGATGTGAGTCTCGAGGGCAGGGTGACCCACAGCCGGGTCTTCTGCAAGTGACACATTTGGATTCTTCTTTTCCAAAATGTAGCCTTTTGTTTTATTTGACTCCCATCCGTCACGGCTGGCTGCCCAGCACAGCGCTGGAGACACGATGACAGCAGCCCTCTGGTCTTATTTCCAGAGCTAACAGAAGCGCCTCCTGCAGCTCTGCACTAAGCCCATGTTTGCTGGTTTGTGGCACAGCCTTGGTCTCATGCATGTGGCGTTTTTCTATTCTAGTTTACCAAGAATTTTGCCTTGGGCTTTTAATGAAGGAGTGAGTTTGTTCATATATGTCTGTGTGTGTATTAATCTACTGAGAGTTCCAGTGGCTTTTCTGCTTCTTTTTTCTGAGTATAGTTAATGATATCCTTTGTAACCTGTGATCTAAGACATACATTACTTGACAATAGGTCATGATCCCTTTTTCCCCAGCTTTATTGAGATGTAATTGACAAATAAGAATTACATAAATTCAAGGTGTACAACACGACATCTTGATACATGCACACATTGGGCGATGATTACCGCAGTTAAGCTAATTAGTATGTCCATCACCCTTCTGTTGAGACATTTAGAGGGACTCTCTTAGCACATTTCAGTGTCACTGCATCACATTCTGCGTTACAGTCAACTGTCCCCGTGTTGCGCGTGAGGTTTCCAGGATGGACTCATCCTGCACAGCTGAAACTGCATCTTGTCATCAGCACCTCCCCATGCCCTGCACTCCCAGCCCCTGCAAACCACCACTCTACTCTCTGCTTTGGTGAGCTTGGTTTCTTAGATTCCCCGTATGAGGGAGGTCTGCAGTATTTGACTTTCTGTGTCTAGGTTATTGCACCTAGCATCATGTCTACAGGTTGATCCACGTTGCCACAAACCACGGGATCACCTTCCTCTCTATGGTTGAGTCGTATTCCATATACACCACGCATATACACCGCATTTTCTTTATCCACTCATCTGTTGATGGACGCTTAGGTTGCTTCCATGTCTTGGCTGTTGTGAAAAGTGCTGCAGTTCACATGGGAGTGCAGGTATCTCTGAGATCTGGCATTAATTTGTCTTGTATAAATACACGGAATGGAATTGTTCATCATAGGGTAGTTCTATTTTTAATTTTTTAAGGAACTCCCATACTGTTTCCCATGATAGCTGCACATAATGGCTTAGTTTTCTGTTAATGTAGGTTCATAGAATCTCTTACATTATCTTTTGAAATGAGATTGGTCTACAGTCCCATCTCTCTCGTTGTTGTTACTGGTTTTGTCATCAGGGTGTCACCAGTCTTACTAGAGGAATCCAGAAGCCCTCTGGCTTCTTCTGAGCTCTGGAATATTTCAAGTATTACAGGAAGATCTTTATATTGAAGGCTGACGGTATACACCTTTGAAACATATGAGTCTGCCTTCTGAAGAATATTTTTCAATGCCATTTCCATATTTTTCTAGATATAATTGTATTAAAATTGTTTTGTTTTGTTATTCAGTGTAGGTAATTTACATTTTTTAGAATACAGTAGATTTCATTTATATTTCCAAATTTTAGGATAAATATACCCATACTATTTTCTTATGCTGAAAAAAATCTCTGAATCTGTAAGTGTACTTCTTTTTCCATCTTTAATGTCTGCTTATTTTTATTAGACTGTATTTTAATTTTCTTTAGATTTTCCTTGATGGACATCTGTGGATTTCTGTGGACATTTGAAAAGAGGGCGTCGTGTTTCTTCTTGTTGGAGATTGCTGAGTAAAAGTTTCAGAAGGCGCCGTGGGTGGTAAACTTTCCAGATCCCTGTTGTCTAAGAACAGCCCTCCCCCGGGTGCCTGCCACAGCAGAGTCTAGGTGCAGAATTACTTCCCTCTGCCTTGGGAGAGGCTGGACCAACAATGCGTCTCATGTTTGCATAACTTTGATCTTTTATGAAGCCTTTTCTCTTTCCAGAATCTGGCACTATTGCTCCTTCTTGTACTTCATTGATTTCACCAGACCCCCTTCCCATCGCTGTCATCAGCTGTGTTCATCCCCTGGATCCCACCTTCCTTTAGTTCAAGAACTTTTATCTGCATATAGGTTTGATGATTTTGTTCCATTCTTGGGTTCTCTCCTCCTGTGATCCTGGCATCATAGACCCTGGGTCTCTAGGCTGATCTCCCTCAGAACTCAGGCTCTTCTTGGCTTCATCTCTTTGTCCTCTGCATTGGGTTTGGGTCAATCCTTGCTGAACTGGGTCACTGTATCAGCTCTTCTGCTCTCAAGATCTATTACACAGACCACTATTGACATGTGTATTTAGAGTGTCACACTTTCAGTCTCCTGGAACTTGGGGTGTTTTCTTTCCTTCTCTTCCTTCTCCTTTTTGGTAGCACCCTGTTCTTGTTTCAGGAAGTGACAGCCTCTCTGTTTCCTCACATCTCCATCATCCCTTGATCAGACTTTGCTTCTCTGTCATGCTGTGACTTCCTCACATGTCTGAGGATCCTTAGTTGTTGTTCACATTTTTAAGTGAGGGTCTAGATTGTTTGACATTCATTACTGAAAGGTTCTCTGCCCATAGATACACATATTCCACACCCAGAGCTGATGTTGGGGCTCTGAGGAGGGGGGCCGTGTTCACTGCTGGTTGGACACGGGGGATCCCGTTCATCTTGGCATCCAGAGCTTCCTGGGGCATGGCCTCTTCCTCTCCAGCTTGGGACCTAGGCTGGGAGTCTCCTGGGCCAGCCACACCCTTCCTGGTTCTCCCGATGGATGCAGGCCACCGAATGGCTCTTCCTGAGAACTCGACACATCAGCTAAAGACCGTTGAGCGCCCACAGTCATCCTCATGTGTGGTCCCCGTGCGAGGGTCCCGGGAGACCTAGCACCGTCCTTCTTCACAGTCTTCCCAGTCTTCACAGTCCTTCTTCTGCTTTTCTTTCTGTGGGATTTAAAGTCAGCAGAACCTGATCTTTTTGTCTTGCCTTTTCCAGAAAATTACTGACCTGGTCTGTGGATGGCATGCTTCCGTTTTCCATCACTGCTCTGGCACCGTTCATTTTTATTTGGTTAAAGGGGAGATGGAGACATTGGCCAGTGGCCATCTCAAACGGAGAGCTAAGACTGTTTTTAGCAGATTGACCAAGATAAAATTCATAAGCCCCGAAGGTCACCCACTGCAAGTGCACAGTCCATGCGTTTTTAGTATAGTCCCAGCGTTTCTCAGCTGTCACCAATATGTAATTTCACAACATTCCGCCTCCGAGAAAAACGCCGATCAGCAGTCACTCCTCATGAACCCCTCACCCAGCCTTGGGCACCCACACATCCACTTCCTTTATCTGTGGCTTTGCCTGTCCTGAGCCTTTTACACAAACAGATCTAGCCACAAGTGGCCTCTCACTGAGCATCATGCTTTCAAGGCTTGTGCATGTGGTAGCCTGTGTCAGTATCTGATTCCTTTTCATACATAAGTAATATTCCCCGTGGGAATGGGCCACATTTTGCTTGTGTGGATGGGCTGTGTTTTGCTTGTCCATTCATCCTCGGATGGACATTTGGGCTCTTTCCACTTCTTGGCTAATGTCAGTGGTTCTGTGTACATGGGCACACAAATCTGTGTGGACATTTGTTTCATTCCCCTGGGGTAGATGCCTAGAACTGGCAGGGTCACAGGGTCACACAGTGAGTGACCATTTTGAGGAACTGTTTTCCAAGGTGTTTTCACTGGAGGTTGAAGCTCTGATGAGGCAGAAGACACATCGAATGGGAACCCAGAGCAGGGGTCAGAGCTGAGACCTGCCCCCACCCCCAGCAGAGATGTCCTCCCTGGGGATGGCCAGACAGGCTGGGTCGGGTCCTGTCGGTGCCTCAGACAAGGGCAGGTGGGGGTCAGTGACAACGTGGAGGAGGTCAGAGAGCGAGTCCCGGGCCCTCCATGTGGCTCTGTGCTCTGACCCCGTGGCCAGCAGTGGGCACAGTGACGGGGGGCTCAGACATGCATGTGTGGGGAGCCCCTCCCCAGGATGGCGCCAGAGCCCTAGGATGAAGCCTCAGCACCCACCAGCCGCCCCGCAAACCAGGGCAGGAAGCAAACATCTCTGTCCCTGGAGGCCCTCATTTGTCCCTTCATGGGGACCTGGCTTTGCTTCCAATGAGGTGGACAAGGCTGTGTCCGTTTGGCCCCGGCCCTGGGGACGGCCGCTGCTGGCTGTCCTGGGTGGTCTGCCTCGAGGGGAGCAAGGGAGGTGGCTGTGCTGAGCACAGTGAGCTCCGTGGGGTGGGACTCCGGGAGGTCCTGGTGTGGGGGCTGGCGGCCTCTGGCATTGACATGCAGGGGTCATTTGCTGGGCAGGAGTTGGAGCTGGCTCTCAAATGCACACAGTGACCTGGTGGAGAGTGTGGCGGCTCTTACCAGGCAGAGCTGAGGGCTGTCTGGGAGAGACCTGGGAGGCTGGGGGTGTGCAGACAGGGTCCTCGGGGTAAGTGTCCAGGACCACCGGATCAGGAGGGAGCCGGGACCCTGAATCTCTACGTGAGGCCACATGGGGCAGGAGGGCCGGCAGACTTGGGTAGTGGTGCCATGGCCCCTGCCCATCTGTGCTCTCACCAGCAATGCCTGAGCAACGGGTTTTCAAGAATCCCGTGACAACCCGAGGCTGCTGGGCTGGCGTCCTGGAGGAGGGCGTGGTCCCGGGTGTCATTGTGGAGGAGACCAGGGCTGCAGGGATGGGCACTGTGTCCATAGCTGGTCTCCCCAGGGGCAGCAAGAGGGGTGAGGCTGCTGGGCGGAGCCAGGCCCTGGGGGGGCTCCCGCAGTCCTATGGGGCAGCCACAGAGCTGGGGAGGGTGAATGTGTCTCAGGGGTCCAGAGCTGCTGCCAGGGTCCACATTGTCCCAAAACTCCTGGCCTTGGTTCCAGAGGCCAAGGAGTTGGTTCCTCAGGCTTCCCTGAGATGGGCCTGGGGGCCATGTGCTGGGGCTGGGGACTCACAGAGCTAAGGGGGAGCCTGGGCTGCAGGATTCCAGAGGCCAGCACCAAGCGGCTTTGCTTCCTGCTTCATTCCATCCCCCAGGGGTCCACAGACAGGATCAAAGGTCGACAGAGACAGAGGTGGCTTTATTAGGACACAGAACGTGCGCTGCCCAGGGTGCAACCAGCCCTCCTGGGGTCAGGACTGTCCCTGCAGTCAGGGGTGGCATCACTTCCCACCTCACCCTGTCCCCCCACCCCCGAGGGTCCACAGACAACACAGAGGTTGGTGTGAGACAGGGACGGCTTTATTAGGACTCAGACGAGGTGCTGCTGAGGGTGAGACCAGGCCTGTTGGTGGTTGGTTCTGCGGAGCTGGGATCTGGGGCACAGCTGGGGTCCCCCGTGCAGCCAGCATCTGGGAAGGACTGGGGGATCATCCTGGTCTCCGACACAAACAGCCTGCCCGATCCTCTGAGGGTGTCAAAGCCAGAGAGTGCAGGGCTGGCTGCGGCAGCTGGGAGGTCAGCCCCAGGGGGGAAGGGACTCTGGATGACATCCAAGGCCATCAGCAGCTGGACTTATGGCCTGAGCAGAGGCCTCAGCAGGCCGGGCGGGGGCACGTGGGGCGGCAGAGGAGGGACACGCAGGAGGCCGGGCGGCAGCAGCTGGGCTGGCAGGAGGAGGAGGGGGCACAGCAGGAGGAGAGAGGCACGCAGCAGGCAGGCCTGCACACAGGGCGGCAGAGCAGGGACACGGAGGAGGAGGGTCTGCAGCAGGAGGTGGTGCAGCAAGCCGGCTGGCAGCTAGACTGCTGGCAGCATGAAGAGGAAGCCCCAGAACAGACAGGCACACAGCAGACAGGCTTGCGGCAGATGGGCACACAGCTCACAGGCTTGCAGCAGACAGGCACACAGCAGGCCTGCAGGCAGGGGGTGGAGGTGCAACAAGCCGGCTGGCAGCTAGACTGCTGACAGCATGAAGAGGAAGCCCCAGAGCAGACAGGCACACAGCAGATGGACTTGCCGCAGATGGTCTTGCAGCAGACGGGCGCACAGCAGACAGGCTTGCAGCAGATGGGCACGCAGCAGGCCTGCTGGCAGGGGGAGGAGGTGCAGCAAGCCGGCTGGCAGCTAGACTGCTGGCAGCACGAGGGCGTGCAGGAGTTGGTGCAGCCTGATTGGCAGGGGCTGGGCTCACAGGCCGCCTGGCAGCAGGGGCTGGACACACAGCTCACTGGGGTGCAGACCAGGGTCAGGCAGGGGGCTGGGGCGCAGCAGCTGGGGGCACAGCAGGGGGGCTGGCAGCAGCTCTCTGGGCAGTTGTCCACCTGCCAGGAGTCGGAGCAAGTGCTGGAGCAGATGGACATGGTGGACGCGGCCATGCTGGGGTGTGGAGGAGGTGAGTGGGGGTGGTGTGAGTGAGTGAGTGTGAGTGAGTGTGTGAGTGTGTGAGCCTGTCAGCTCCTGGGGCTCTGGGGCTTTTATACGCCCGGCGCCTGTGTTTTCCCCAGCACGAGACTCAGCAACGCCTTCCGTGTTGGTGTTTGTTGCTGGGAGGACCCTCATTATTTCTGCTTCCCTTGCTGTGACTTGTCCTCACTCTGCTCCTCACACTTGGCTGGTCCTGGGCAGGGCCGGTGCCCCTGGCTGAGCCTGGACCCCGGGACACCGGGGGGACAGTGCAGCGTCTCTGGGGCTGCCCTGGTGACTTCCACCTGCCAGGTCCTGTGACTGTCCCCAGCGTGGTCTCTTGGCCCAGGAGATGCCCAGCCTCTGTCTGCAGGGGCCTCACGGGGCAGGCTGGCCTGGCTGGGACTGGGAGAGCCAGGAAGGAGGCGCCTGTGCAGGGAAAAGGCGCTTGAGGGCAGCGCTTCCTGGGGGGCTGTGGGATCTTCTGAGCTCCTGATGTCTGCCAAGGGCAGGAGGACAGGGAGGACCTCCCTCCCCTGAGAGGGAGAGGAATGTTCTGGGAAGGCCTCTGGACAGTCAGCTCATTGGGAGGACAAGGTTTGGGGACTGGCCTTTGAGTCTGGACCACCGTCCCCTGGAGCCCTGGTCAGGTGTCCTGAGAGGGGTGGGCATAGGTCATGGCCTGAGGGTGGGGAGGGGTCTTTGCCTTGGAGAGGCAGGAGTGGAGTGAGGGTCGTGTGGAGACTAGCGGACACTTGGAGTTGACAAAGCCTGTGCTTTGGAGGCCATCAGGCAGGGCTGGCCCTGACCTCGGGGCAGGGATGGTCACAGGCGAGCTTCTCTGTCCTGGGGCCTGAGCGCAGCGCAGCCTGAGGCTGGTTCTGACAGGAACCACACACCTCCCAACATCCTTCCAGCCTCTTCTGAATGAGAAAAGGATCCGATGGGGACACAGTCAGTCCCGCTGCCCAGATGCCCGGGAGCTTAACAGGGAATCTTACTCTATATTTGCACCTTGACTGAAGCCACAAGCCAAGACATTGAAACGTGATGTGAATTTCTGGTATCTGTAGGTGGCAGAGTGACTGTCCCAGGCCACATTCACCGAAGGGCTGGATGAGGGACAAAGTCACCGCACCCAGCGGCCCCACTTGTACCCCCGCCATGACCGTGTGACAATGAAACGGAAAGGAAGCCCATCTGCCTGGCAGCCCCAAGTATAAAATGCCCGATGGGAATGTGAGAGGGTCAGACGTGAACAAAAGCGTAAACCTTGACCAGGGCACACACAGCACATGCCCCCTGGAAACCCGGCAGGGTGGGTGCTGGAGACTGGTCCGTGTGCCTCAGCTCAGCATTTGCGTCATTCCGGTCACAGCCCCAAAGGAATCACGGGGTGTACAAATGAAGACACTGAACTGCCAGAAAATACTTGCAATCTCCATGACAGGTGGAAGATTAATGTAAAACGTTTAAGGTCCTTACCACTAAAACAGGATGAGATCCAAAATAATTGAATACAAGGTTTAAAACTTTAAATTTCCAATAAGCATTAATGAGATGAACAGTGACTTCACCTCATTAATAACTAAAGTTTCTCAAATTTAAACACGTCTCCCCCCATAAGAGGAAACAAGATTTAAAATGCTGATGATATCCAGTACTCTGGAGCGCAGGGGCTTCATTCTTAGAAACCCTTGGCAGGTGTCATTAATTTAAATTATGGTAAACGGTAATATAAAATTTACCGTTTTACCCATTTTAAAGTGTGCAATTTGGTGACATTTTGTGCAGTCACAATGTTGTGCCACCATCCTGCTACTACCTAGTTCAGAACACTATCATCACTCCAAAAGGAAACCACGTAATATGTATATATATTGTACTTTAGGTTCTGGGGTACACATGCAGATCATGCAGGACTGTTGCATAAACACATACCTGGCAATGTGATTTGCTGCCTTCATGCCCCCATCACCTATATCTGGCATTTCTCCCCATGTTATCCCTCCCCAACCTCCCTACCCCCCTCTGTCCCTCCCCTAGTCCCCTCCAACAGACCCCAGTGTGTGATGCTCCCCTCCTTGTATCCACGTGTTCTCATTGTGCAACACCCACCTATGAATGGGAGAGAACATGTGGTGTTTGACTTTCTGTTCTTGAACCGTGTACTATTAACCAGCCATGCCCCAGCCCCTGGCAACCACTATTCTGCTTGTCTCCATGGCTTTGCCCGTTCTGCATGTTTCATATCCATGGAGTCATAGAATATGTGGCCTTTGTGTCTGGTTTTGTTCACTCAGCATATTTTCAAGGTACATCATGTAGTATGTTTTGGAGCTCCATTCCTTTGTATGGCTGATTCATATTCTGTCGTATGGACACGCCACATTTCATTTATCCATTCATCTGCTTATGGACTTTGGGGTTCTTTTCAACTTTTGGCTAGTGTGAATAGTGCTTCTATAAACATTCTTGTACACATTTTTGTTTGAACATCTCTTTAAAATTCTGTTGGGTAGACACCTAGGAGTGGGAACTGATGGGTCATATGGAATTCCATGTTTACATTTTTTTTGAGGACCTGCCAGACTGTTTTTCACGGCATCTGTACCATTTTATGTTCTGAGCAGCAATGTACAAAGGTTCCAGTTTCTCTTCGTCCTTGTGAACATCTGCTCCCTTCTATTTGTCTGTGTATGTGTGTGTTAAATTATAGCCAGCTTAGTGGGTATACGCAGCAACAGCATATCATGGTGATGTGGATTTACGTTTCCCTAATGGCCAACAATATTGGGCTTCTTTTCCTGTGTGTATTGGCCATTTGCCAGTCTTCGTTGGAGAAATGTCTGTTAAAGTACTTTGCCTCTTTTTAAATTGGGTTAACTTTTTGTTGCTGAGTTTTAAGAGTTATTTATATATTCTGGATGTTAGATCTTTACCAGAATTATGATTTACAAGCATGTTCTCCCCTTCTGTGGGTTGTTCTGCTCTCTTGATAGTGTCTTTTGATGCACACAACTTTTTAATTTTGATGACATTCAGTTTATCTTTTTCCTTTTGTTGCTTATGCTTCTGCTCTCACATCTAAAACACCATTGCCCAATATAAGGTCATGCGTATTGACTTTTATGTTTCCTTCTCAGAGTTTTATGGCTTCATCTCATATATTTGGGGCTTTGATCCAGTTTTAGTTAATTTGTTGGTGTGAGATATAGTGCAACTTCATGATTTTGTGTGTAGATATCCAATTGTCCCAGAACCATTAAAAGAAGTATAGACAGGGTCTTGGTCTGTTGCCCAGGCTAGAATGCAGTGGCACAATCATAGCTCACTGCAGCCTCAAACTCCTGGACTTAAGTGATCCTCCCACATCAGTTTCCCAGGTAGCTGGGACGACAGGTGCACGCCACCATACTCGGGTAATAAAAAAAATTTTTTTTTAGGGGCCAGGGTCTTGCTATGTTACCCAGGCTTGTCTTGAGCTCTTGACCTTAAACAATCCTCTTGCCTCAACCTCCTGAGTAGTTGGAATTACAGGCATAAGCCATCATGCCTGGCCCTAGAAGATAAGACAATTGTAAACATTAATGTGCCTAACATCAGACCCTCATAATATATCAAGCACAAATTGACAGAATTGAAGAAAGAAATAAACAATTCCAGCTCAACAATAATATTTGAAGACATCAATAAGTCACTTCCACTGATTAAAAAAAATTTTTTTAAATAGAACAACTAGATCAAAGATCAATAACGAAATAGAAACTTGAAGAACACAATAAACAAGCTAGATCTAATACAGTCACAAATAAAACCCTCAACCCAACAACAGCAGAATACACATTCTTCTCAATTCTCCAGATTAGGCCATACATTAGTCCAAAAAGCAATTCTCAATAAATTTAAAATTATTGAAATCACGTAGTGTTTCTTCTCTGACCACAATGGAAATTAGAAATCAATAACAGAAGGAAAACTGGAAAACTCACACATATGTGGCAATTAAACAACACACACTTAAACAATGAGTTGATCAAAGAAGAGAGAAGTTAGAAAATACTATGGGATAAATGACAATGACAGTGTAACAAACCAAAACTTAATGGGATACAGCAAAAACAGTTTATGGAGGGAAATTTATAGATGTAAATGCTTATGTTAAAAAACAAGAAAGATCTTAAGAAACCAGAAAAGAAAGAGGAAACTAAACCCAAACCTAGAAGAAGGAAGAAAATAAAGATTATATATAGCATAAAGGGAGCAAATAAATGAGAAGGGAAAAATAATGGAACCAATGAAGTCTAAAATTAGTTTTTTGAAAGCAGCAATAAAATGTATAAACCTTTAGACTAAGAAAAAAAGAGAAGGCTCTAATTACTACAATCAGAAATGGAAATGGGAACATCACTAATGACCTATATAAATAAAAAAGATTATAAAAGAAGTGAGCAGTTTTACACCAACACATAAAACCAATAAAATTCATTCCATTTAAGCATGTTCAGTGATATTAAATACATTCGTAATGTTGATAACTAGATGCAATGGATAAATTCCTATTCACATACAAACTACCAAAATTGATACCTTTATTAGTGTTCTTTATTTCTTAACACGCCTTCAAGTTATTGCCTAGTGCCCTTTTATTTCATCCTGAGCTGGCATTTCTTGTAGGGCAGACCTACTGGCAATGAACTCTCTCAACATTTATTGATCCAGAAGTTATCCTAGTTTCTCCTTCAGTTTTGAAGGATCATTTCACTGGACATAGACTTCTTGGTGGACAGTTTTTTCTTTTTCAGCACTTTAAGTGCATCATCCCATTACCTTCTGTTCTTCATGGTTTTTGATGAGAAATTAGCTGTTTATCTTCTTTCATCCTGCTTTCAAGATTCTCTTTTTGTCTTTCAATAGTTTAATTTTATATTTCTGTGTGGATCTTTTTGAGTTTATTCTACTTGATGCTCACTGAGTTTCTTGAATGTGTAGAGTCACATGTTTCATCATATT